GGAGAGAAAGAAAGAGAAAGGGAGGGTGGAAGGAAGGAGAGGGAGAGGGAGAGAGGGAGGGAAGAAAAAGAAAGGTGGAGGGAGGAAGGAAGGGAGGGAGGAAGAAAAAAAATGAAGAAAGCAAAGAAAGGAGGAGGGAGGAAGGAAGGGAGAGGGAGGGAGAGAAAGAAAGAGAAAGGGAGGGTGGAAGGAAGGAGAGGGAGAGGGAGAGAGGGAGGGAAGAAAAAGAAAGGTGGAGGGAGGAAGGAAGGAAGGAAGAAAAAAATGAAGAAAGCGAAGAAAGGAGGGAAGGAAGGGAGAGGGAGGGAGGGAGGGAAAGAAAGAAAGAGAAAGGCAGGGTGGAAGGAAGAATTCTGGGAGTTGGAGTCCACAAATCTTAAAGTGGCCACGGTTGGAGACCCCTGCTCCAGAGGACCAATCTTGGCGCAGAGACGTCGTTCACCGTCCCTGGTCCGGACTTACCTCTCCGTAGCCGCAGACCACCACCTGTTTCCCTCCAAACATCATGTCGGTTGTCCTTTTCAGGCTGGGAAGGAAGAGAGAAGGCAGTTACTCCAGGATGGACGGCTGGCAAGAAAGCCGCAGCCCCAAGAATATCATGTCCGAATAGGTGAGCGACGGTGGCCGCCAGGCTCAGAACTACTCCGGTTGAAGGTTTCCTGCGGAGGGTGACGTCAAAGCCAAAGCCGCACGCTTGTTACAAGCCGAGGTTGGCAGAAGACAAATGGGACCAAGTTCCCCTTGCGGAACGGTTTCCAAAGAGCCGTTGTGGCCGGCCAGAGGAGGCTGGGGAGGAACAGGGGCCAATCCTGGAGGCTGAGGAAGGCTCGGACAAGGGCTCTGCGTCGGAGGCAGAGATGGGGCCAGGGCTGTTTGACGGTTACCAGCTGCCTTCAGAGTCGGAGATCAGTGGGGAAGAAGAACAGCTGGAGCCTGTTCCCAGGGTGCGCAAGCGCAGAGCTGCTAGAAGAAGGGGACAGCTAAGGCACAAGGGTTGACTCCGAGAGTAAGGGCACAGATGGACGGGGAATGGCCCCTCCCATAGGGATTAAAAGAGGAGCAAAAGGGGAGGGGGCTTTCGCAGGGAAGAATTTGTTGGTTGCAGTCGTGGGAAGATCTGTCTGTGTATCTCAGAGTCTCTGTGCCGAGCCCTTCCTTGTCAGCACTGCGTTTGGGAATAGTTACTTGCCAGCTCTCCAGGCTAGATGAGGTCTGTGCTCCTCCTCATTACACCCTTTAAAGACTGTTGGCCAGGCCTTTGGCTGGAAGTGAATGCAAGAAATACACCTTCCTTTCATAAAAGGGGGTTTTGCCGGGACACGGAGTCGGCTCAGTGCTTTTTGGGGGAAGCCGAGGTCAGAACAAGAGCTGTGATTTGTGGCTCAGGTGTGAAGACTGCCTGGAATACACACCTGAAATGTTCTGCGTTCTTCCCCTTTACAGACTGCAGGATAAATGGAAACATTCAGTTGAATCGCTGCAGTGGGATATTTGCACGCACCTACAGAAAAAGAATCTGCTTGCTAGGTGTGAGCAAGCCTCACTCCCTTTTAGCACTGATGATGTTCCCTAGCTGGGTCATGAAATGTCTGCAGCAACTAAGCTCAGAGCACCAAGGAGTTCACAGTCCTTCCCTTTCTCCTTCTTTCTTTGTCCCCTTCCTTCTTTTTCCTTCCTTCTCCTTCCCTCCTCCTCCCTTTTTGTCTTCTTCCTTCTCCACCTCCTTCTCCTGTTCGTCCACTACACAACTCCACCTCCTTTCTAACATTGATGATGTTCCCTACTTGGGTCATGAAACGTCTGCAAGAAAAACACCAAGCTCAGAGAGCACCAGAAAGAGCTCCAAGGACGTCTCAACTTCTCTGCCTCTGACTCTCCACAAATCTCACTCCCTTCTAGCATGGATGATGTTGCCTAGTTGGGTCATGAAACGTCTGCAAGGAAAATACCCAGTTCAGAGAGCACCAGGGACCCCAATGTCCTTCCTTCCTTCCTTCCTTCCTTCCTCACCTCTCCTTTATTCCTTCTCCTTTCTCTTCCCCCTCCTCCTCCTAACCGCCCCCCCTTCTAGCACTAATGATGTTCCCTAGTTGGGTCATGAAACATCCGCAAGGAAACCACCCAATTCAGAGCACCAGGGACCCCACAGTCCTTCCTTCCTTCCTTCCTTCCTTCCTTCCTTCCTTCCTTCCTTCCTTCCTTCCTTCCTCCCCTTTCCTTTATTCCTTCTCCTTTCTCTTCCTCCTCCTCCTACCCCCCCTCTCCTTCTGGCACTAATGATGTTCCCTAGTTGGGTCATGAAACATCTGC